ACCAAGGTGACTCCCATGTTTCTGGTTTGAGCTTTGGTGCTGATTGATGGACCTGGGGAGTAGCAGGTTTGAGGACAGAGCTTGTGAGTTCTCTCCTTCAGTCTGCAACAGGCACAAGACATTCAGACGGAGATGTGAAATAGGCCACTGTATATACAAGGCGGGAGTGCACTGGGGATAGATATTTGGGAGTTGGCAGCAATAGGTGGTGTTCAAAGCCATAGAAATGGAGGAGCTCACCAATGGAGAGAGAGTAGACTGTCCCATATAAGCTCACAAACTGTCTTCTCTTATCATTTGGTGCTGGCTCCCATGAAGAGTATCTGTACCAGTGGCGCTAACCCCTAAGAGCAGCATTCCCTGGGGTGCCTGGGTGGCTCAGCCAGTTAAACATCTGCTCAGGTCATGATCCCAGGATCCTGGAATCGAGCCCCATGTCGGGCTCCCTGCTCGGCGGGGAGCCTGCTGCTCCCTGTCCCTCCGCCCCTTGGCGGAGCACCCTGCTCGTGTGTGCTCTCTTTCTCTCAAATAAATCAATAAAATCTTTAAAAAAAAAAAAAAAAAAGAAAAGAGCAGCGTTCCCTCGGGGTTCATAGGGCCCTCGATTCTCTGTAGGCCTCATTGGGATGAAGCCAAGGCTACAATCTGCCCTCAAGTGGAGCAGATTCTCCCCTCCTCACTCAGTGTCCCGCTCGGTCACCTGAGTCACAGAGCAGGCTGCTGGGGCTCCAGTACTCAAGAGAATATTGCCTGCAAGTCTCACTCTTCCCACAAGCTCAGACATCTACCTCTAAGCCAGACCCTGGCTATTCGCATTAGACCCAAAGAAGAGAACTGCAACAATATAGCCTCATGAATGTGTCAGTGCAGCTGCCGAAACTCATCTGAGCGCTCTCTGAGGCTCAGGCTGTGTCCCCCTGACCACCACCACCACGACTACGCCACCATTTGAATAATGCTGTTCAGAAAGGTTTCGTTGTCTAATGTTCCCAAACTTCCACACCTGCATCTAATTAATGACCTTAATATTCTACTTAGGCTTTGTGAAATACCCGCTATATATAATAGAGTCTAGGAATGCAAAGGATCAGATCTTTGTTCTCAATTTGATAAATAACCTGTCTACCCACTGATTGGCATAGCACCGTAGGAATAATGATGAAAACTCCCAAACAAACCAGCCCTTAGGTCAAACCTTCACGTTGGCCTGACACCAAGTGCAAGGGGGGAGAATCCTGAGGAGAAGCGTTTGTGGACAAGGGAAGTGTAACAGTGGCCCTGACTGGGATATATGGGGGCCTTCCAGGCCCAGTCGAGGCATGCGTAGGGCCAGGCAAGGAGGTGCGTCCCAGAGGCAATCTGTGTTAGGAGTCACTGCTACACCCGCTTGCACCAGGCTCCGGGGGGGTCTGAGAGAACAAAGAACAAGATACCACTCCGTGTCACGTGTCTGGGTGCACATACACATGTAAGCAAATGGCTTACTACATATTATATAGTAAGGGGCTGTATTAGACACAGACAATCTTGGAAAAGGAAGAGCTGAGCTTCACTCTTCCTAGCAAAGCTGGAAAAAGATTTTTTACAGAGCCTATTTAACCTAAGTCTTGAGGGATGTGTAGGTGATCTCCAGGTGGGCAAGTTATAAGTAAAGGACAGAATTCTAGGTTATAGGGAGGACAGTCAGGTTATAGGGAGGAGAAGAAACAGATAGTGTGCCTCGGGTAGTATTTTCCAAGTGGGTGAACACAACATGGGTGGGGGACCCAATGGTGCTAGATGGGGTCAGAGGAGATTTTAGGTAGCATGTGGACACTACATTAAATAACAACGAATTCCTTGGAATTGATAAAGTTGGCTATCTTTTAATTCCCTTCCATCTCTGCCCAGGAGAAATGTCTCAGTTGGCTATTAGGATGCTAATCTTCCTTCTTAACAGAGTAGGTTTCAGGCTCAGAGGTTCCCCAGGTAACAGTGTCTAGCTAGAATTTAATATTATTTTGTTTTTATTATATTTATGTTTCTTTTTTTTAAGATTTTATTTATTTATTTGACACAGAGAGAGAGACAGCGAGAGAGGGAACACAAGCAGGGGGAGAGGGAGAGGGAGAAGCAGGCTCCCCGCCGAGCAAGGAGCCCTATGTGGGGCTCGATCCCAGGACCCTGGGATCATGACCTGAGCCTAAGGCAGATGCTTAACGACTGAGCCACCCAGGTGCCCCTATATTTATGTTTCTCTTATGTTTACGGTAAATGACAGTGGTTTTACATTTATAGTAGTTATATAAATTTTTCTTTCTAAACAAACTTAAGTTTAAGAAGTAAGTGCTTCATTGCAACTGCTTTGCAATGTGGTTCGAGATTCTATCCGGGGACCGGCGTCATGGCTGTGGGCTTGCTCATTCCGGGCATAGCCACTGCGCACATCCCCAGGTCCACTAACAGGGGTGAAGAAAAAAGCCTTGCCCATTATTCATATCAGTGGAATTGGATGGAAAGAGGCATGTCTCTGGAGTTTGTTACTATGTGTCAAAGGGTTTGGAGAATATCCACTAAGGAAGCATTTTCCTGATTGGTGAAAAATAACTCCATTATGCTCACCTACCCCTTCTAGAAGGTTATGCAGTGTATTAATGTAGTGCATAATAAAAACAGCAAAAAAGTAAAAAAAAAAAAAAAAAAAGCAAGCGATTTATATGCAAATATAGAAAAATATTAAGAAGTTAATCACACCATGAACTTATGGTAAGAATTATGACAGTGGCATGTGAACATCTGAAGTGTTAGAAATACTTTCTAGGAGAAAGATTAGCAGTTTGCTATGTTGCTATCACTGTGTTAGTATAGATCATTCAGAGATCAAGCATGGTAAAATGGGTCAAGCTTTTTTTTTCCCCCTTTTAAGTAAACTCTACCAACGTGGGGTTAGAACTCATGATCCTGAGATCAAGAGTTGCAAACTCCACCAACTGAGCCAGCCAGGCTCCCGCAAATAGGTCAAGTTTAAAGCCAGGCAGACAGGAATTCCAATCTCCCTTCAATACTTTCTAGGTGGGTGGCCTTGGGCAATGGCTCTTGAGGTCTTTGTCTTACTTTCCTCACCTTTATACTAAGAGTCCATATTACAGGACTGTAAGCATTAGAGACAATAGATATGCAGGTCCTAAAATTATAGACATTATTAACCTTCTTTATAACTTTCCAACAAGCTTTCCAAGGTTAGCCATGACTGACTCTGACCTAATTTCTCTAATTCTGTGAGACAGTCTGCAGAGCTGTTAATTGGTTTCAGAAAAGAACTGAATGTGTTATTTTTCTTTATTTCTCCATTAATTTGTATAGAAAGTTAAAAAACCGCACAATGGTCATGATTGCCGGGTCATCCCAAATGGCTGTAAACTGGGGAGGGGAGACCACCCACCCAGTCCAAGTCGGAGGATCCATGTTGTATTCTAATGTTCTTCTGAATGCATTTTGTAACATTTTTTAAATAAACAAAATAAATAAACCGCACAAGCACTATAGACACAGCTCTGAAAACCACTGAGAAGAGGTGTGTGTGGGGGGAAATAACTTAATCCACATTCCATGGTTCCAGCCCATCCTTTCAGCCACTCCCCACTCCCCACTGCCCACACCCCTCCAATCCCTATTATAATGAGGCCCGAAGAAGCCTGTGATGCAGACTTAATGAGTGTGGTAGACCACGACTCAGAGGACCACCACCCAGGTCTCTGGCTTTCCACTTCAAAAGCAAGCACCTGCTGACAGGGGGAAACCAAAAGATTTCTCTGATAATCAGGACACCTTGCCTAAGTAAGAGATAAACTGGACCAGCCCAACCCCCTTAGTAAGCACAATCTGAATTTCCAGCTCTTGTAAAATCATTAGAGCACGGCATAAAAGCACTTTCCTCTGGAACAGTAATAATGATTTTCATCTTCCAAATTAAGCATTGACTTTTTGGGAAACCTGTCATTAGAGGATTTTCTGTCTGCTGACCTTTGCTTTCACTTCCTGGAAGTGTTTTATTAAAGTAGGTCATCTCATTCAAATACAGAACACTACTAATATCTCCCATGCAGTTTTGCAGTTCTAGTTATAAGCAGGATGTACAAGCAATTTATGATTCTTCCATGTGGATATACATTTGTCCTTTACCATGGTCATACTTTTTCCGAAATGAGCCACCAGATTTAAATAGATCGCATACTGCCATTTCTTCTTCTAATTTGGTACAATTCAGAAATGCTGTTTTTAGAAATGTCTTCTCATAGATTGTAAGGGCTAGAATGAAATACATCTCAAAACAATAAAATGAAAGCATGATTTTAAACAAGAAGTGATCAGACATTTTAACCATTTTTTGTTTAATGTTTATACTCCCACATGCTAGAGTCTACTACTAGAAACCCTAACTTTTGATTGGCTAAAAAGGCTGAAAACTGCAGTGCCCCATACCCTGCCCTCCACTAAAAAAGTTGACTAATTACTTCTGAATGATCATCATAGCTTGTTAGTGATCTGTTTGAGGCTATCATATTTACAGTCTACACAATGTTTCTTGTTTTGCAAATCCTGGTGATATTAATATAGCCATAAATACACACAAGAAGACAAGTGTATTTCTAGGATCTAATACTTTTATTTGTCAAGATATTAATAGTTTAAAATTTGTATTTCCTGCCCTAAAAAGCTGTCAAGGAGTCTACAATTTAACTCTGATAGAGTAGTTTGGTCTAGCTATTCAGAAAAAGGAAAAGCGCATGGTTTTATTATAGAACTTGAGCTTAATGTCAGGATCCAAATGTTCCAAGCTCAAATAAATCTTCACAAGCCTGCTTGCTTTTGTGATTGCTAAATCCGAATAGCCGCAAGCAGGAGCCGACCTGTGCCTATAAACATGTAAACCAGCAAACACTAAATCATTCAGTCACGTAAAAGCAACACCCAAAAGCAAACACTAGTTATCCTTAAAGATAATATAAACAAAATGATACCTGTTCTTCAGCTTTTTGGTTTCTCAGGACCGAGAGATATTTCCTAATTGCATGGAGAGGATATTTTTTGAAGTAAGAGAATCTAGACTGAGGCAACAGATTATCCATGGTGAGGAAAGTAAGAAGGTTCTCGTCTGCCCCACCCTGTCAGCAACCATATGAAGTCTCAAAGCTTCACAATTCCTCAGATGCCTAAAGATTTGCTTGTAGCTTGATCATTTTCCGGCAAACAAAGCAAATGTTCTTGCTGCTTCCTCTTTTGGGTAGGGTTCCTGGTGAAACCAGACAGCCAAGTTCGAGTGCCGACCATCTAAGAGCGTCCAGAAATACACTGCCCAAAGGGCACTGGGAGCCAGGAGGAATTTAGGGTCTGGTCCACAGAATGCAAATTGCTTAGTGGTAGTGATGCGATTGTCCTATTTCTAGCAACGGCGTTCTGTTGCAAGCTATGTTAATATTAGCTAGCTGGCTGGTGACTTTCCACACCCACAGACTCTCGTGAGGTTTAATCTTAATTCTTCTGACAGCTTTTCTGGCTCTTAAAGAGGACATGACATGTGGGGTTTTTTTTTTTTTTTTTTTTTTCTGTTTCCTTCTAGATTTTTTTTATCAGCATGAGCACACACACAGGGACATCCCTTGGCTGTGACTCAGCTCAAAAGTGTTGATTCATTCAGTCTTGAGAAGCTTTGTTTTAGGGGACTTATAAAAAAAAGGAACAATTTACTTCACTCTTCACTATTATCAAGGAGTTCAGTGTCAGCACTTAAGAGGTTTGGTTTACGCTGTCATGCATTATGCAACATGCCCAGTAACCAGATACTTTACGTTAATTGAACAATAGCTGCAAATAGATTCTGTTCTGAGTTAAAAGCCTTCTCTCCTTGAATCCTTATCTCAAATCCACAGGCTGAATCCAGGAACATTAAATTTCCCCAGGCTTTATTCCGAATAGAAGGGAGAAAAAATGTTACACATTTACTTTCTAAGTATTATACAAAGGATTCATGCTTTAAAAAAGAGAACTGGGTAAGAGGTCTGCAGTCTCAGAGGGCGTGAAATCATAAAATTTGAAAGCTCAATATTTTCTTAATACTCTGTAGAAGTCACAGGGTTTCTGAACAAAGTTTCCAAGTAGGCTTTGCTCTTTTGTTATCCTTTTTAACATTGTAGTAGCTGGTTCACTTGATGGGAACATTTGGCCACTTTGGTGAGGGGTTGTCATGTAGAGTGTCTAGGCCAGACATCAACCCCAAAATCATGAGGCCCAGAGCTGTGCTTTCAAGAGGAAGGAGAGAGCTGGTCTGTTTCCTTTCAGAGACAGCACTGTTGGGGAGGAGGGGTGAGCAGAGCTGGGAACCCACGTCGCAGACTGTGCTGTCCCCCTGGACAGCCGCCCTGCCACTCCTGGCCGGGCCACTAGCCTTCAGGGAACACACTTGATGGGCCTAATGTGGGTCATGCTGCAGCAGCCCAGGCCATCTGTCAGGCTGGCCTCGGGCCCACTTGCAAGGTGATCTTCCAGGCTCACCAGGACCAGGCTGGCAATTCCAAGAAGTCATTTACATAATGCTGCCGGGCTGGCTTCCAGGAGGAGGAGGCTCTGCCCTCCTGCCCCTGCTTTAGGCGCAAGGCTGGCCGGCTTTTCCAGTGTCCTCTGTATGCTGGAGACAGCGGACTCTAATGAGGTCCAGCGGCAAGCACTGTGCTTGGGAACCACCAGAATGCTAAGGGCAGCGTCGTGCACTCCCTGCAGCTCACAGCTCAGAGAGACAAGGCGCGTGAACACCCAGACACCCTGGCCCTGGAAAGAGGGGAGGCCCTTGAAGCTTGGGGAGGAGGAGAGGTTGCCATTTATACACACCCTCGAGGAACCCGCGAGCTGCCTTTTTCCCTTCCTTTTTTAAAATATCTAAACCTTCAGAGATGCCTCTTCGCCTGGGCAGAAGCGGGCAGCCTGCCAAACACCCACAGCTCGGCTGTGATCAAAGCCTTTTTCCCAACGGATGGACACAAAGCAGACTTCATTTCAAACGGTTGTTTCATGATCACCTTCTCCTGGTTTAATGAAGAGATGGGGAAGGGGTGGGTCAGGGAAGAGGAAAGAAAACCCAGACTGAAACTGTCCTGGCTAGATTTGGCATAAAAAGAAAAATTGGTGAACCGAACACAACTAAAATTGGCGACAAATATAATTCATATCTAATATGTATCAGGCCTTTCCGCCAGGCTCTGTGTTAAATTCTTGACATTATTCATGTAAGACTACAGCAGCATCCAGTGGGGAAACTGAGGCTCACAGAGGGTAAACAACTTTCCAAGGTCACACAGCTACAAAGCCGAAGAGAAGGGACTCCACCCAGGTGGACTGACACACCAGAATCTCCCGAGTCTCCATTCCCAGTCAGTATACAGCACAGCCTCTTAGCCCACCTCCAGAAGTGGATTCCCAAGAGCCTCTTTACAGATGAATCTAACAAAGGAAAGGCATGGAGTTGCCTTGTTAATGAGATACAAACGTAGACTGCTAGGAATTTACAGGCTAAGAATTATTAGATTAGAGATCAGGTGGATCTTCGTGTAAAATCATACAACTCCCTATCCTGGATTCTGCATAACTAAGGCTAATACTCATTATTTACTCATAAAGCTTCCTTTCTGGATGATTCTAGTGATCTTGAAAAGAGGTTGTACTCATAGATACAGATTTTCTGCTCCCCTAACTTTGAAGACTACCATAATCTCAGTTTCTGTTTGACATAGGCTACGATGGTTAATTTCGGTCACCATTTATTTTAAAATTTTATTTGTTTTTGCGAGAGAGTGTGCACGCATGTGCACAGGTGGGGGGAGGGGCAGAGGGAGAGGGAGAAGCAGGCTCCCCGCTGAGCAGGGAGCCCGATGTGCGGCTCAATCCCAGGACCCCGGGATCAATCAGGACCTGAGCCGAAGCCAGGCGCTCAACTGACTGAGCCACCCAGGCGCCCAATTTTGCTCATTATGTATACAGATATGATGTGGGAGAGTCACAGTCCCGTTGTATTCACCCAGTAAGGACATGTCTGCCATCTCAGCCTGGAGGAGTGATGGTTTGATTGCCACTGTGACTCAGTTGCCTTAGTGAATGGCAGTTGACCAGAGATCGGGTGGCTACAGTGTACATCCGCAAGGACCGAGAGAACCCAGGGGACCTGCCCAGCGGTGAGGGTTTATTCTGCCCCCCCTGCAAAGTGGCACAATATGGAGTGGAAGCGATTACCTGTTATTTGTACAACTCACTGCCTGCCACCACTTGTCTTCTATTCGATAGAAAAATAACCAGCAGAGGGGCACCTGGGTGGCTCAGTCATTGAGCGTCTGCCTTCGGCCAAGCTCATGATCCCAGGGTCCTGGGATGGAGCCCCGCCTCGGGGTCCCTGCTGGGCGGGAAGCCTGCTTCTCCCTCTCCCACTCCCCCTGCTTGTGCTCCCTCTCTCGCTGTGTCTCTCTCTGTCAAATAAATAAATAAAATCTTTAAAAAAAATAATCAGGATGAGAAACAGGAACGGAAACCAGAAAGCGTGTCTCCAGGATGCCTCTGAGTTGATGGTGTTTCCAAAGTGCATCAGGACAAACACCAAAACCCCACTAATCCCCCTTCTCTTTCTCCTTTCAATCAGTGCTGAGAGTTTCTATCAGGAAAATGACTTCATTCTCTGGGAATTAATCCAGCCCAGAGATAAAATGAAGGGCAAGCAGTGAGAACGATGGAGAAGCAGCTAGCCCAGAAAACAGAAACCATTTTTTATTATGAATTCCACCGAGAAATCACTCTCATCCCACTAGGTCTGTGGATATTGGCTCAGTTTCTTGCTCCCCCAAGGACAGCTCTAAATGCAATCAGGCAATGGGAAAGGGAGGTTTTCACCATTGCTCCTCAGGGCAAGTATATGCAGCACCAACATTCCACCTTTTGCGCGAGGAAATTTTCTGTGCTACTTGATATGATGATATTTTCTCGGTGCTCCCACCACATAGGGAGTAATTATCTTACACCTGCAGATGGTGGATTTTTACTTTCCCAAAATCCACAATCAACCCCCGTCCCCCTGTTCCTGTTACAACCACAATTCAACAGTTTCGGTGTTTCTCTTTACTCTGTGAGCTATACAACTTTTACGCCTTCTGCTTTCCGGCTTCAAGTATTGATTTCTTGAACTTTACAATACCTCTGAACCCCTGGGACACTCGTCCTCCACTTAGGAAGAAGAAGACGTTTTTCTGCATAGGTTAAAACAAACTTGAACATGCATCAGAATCACCTGGAGGGCTTGAAGCCCTCACCTTGAAGCCCCATCACTGGCCCCACCCTCACGGTTTCTGATTCAGTAGGTTGGGGGCGAAGAGTGAGATTTTGCATTTGAATTAACTTCCCAGGTGTTGCTGCTGCTGGTGGTCCAGGGACCATGGGTTTGGGTGCTGTCAGGTAAGACACTGTCAGGTAAGACACCTTCGTTCGGCTCAGGGTCCTGGGATCGAGCCCCACATTGGGCTCCCTGCTCCGCGGGAGGCCTGCTTCTCCCTCTTCCTGTGGGGCTGTGGAGCGATTTGTCAGGTGGAGGTTGAAGGGTAGAGATCTTGTGCTGGAGCATTTGAGAGCTCCCATCAGAATCACATTTTTTTTTTTTTTTAAGATTTTATTTATTTATTTGAGAGAGAGAGAGAAAGAGAAACAGCACAAGCAGAGGGAGAGGGACAGGGGAAGCAGGCTCTCCGCTGAGCAGGGAGCCTGATGTGGGGCTCGATCCCAGGACCCTGGGATCATGACCCAAGCTGAAGGCAGACGCTTAACGACTGAGCCACCCAGGTGCCCCTAGAATCACATTTTAAAATGTACTTCCCTGGCAGTGGTGGGA